CTGTCAACACCCTTCTTTCCTCTCTCTTCTCTCTCTCTCTCTCTCTCTCTCTCTCTCTCCAAGGTTTTGCTATATAGTCCAGGCTAGCCTTGAACTTGTGATCTTTCTGCTTCCACCTCCTGTGTGATGGGATTATCGGTGAACCGTGTCTGGCTCCAAGTCAACATCTTTGAGTTTCGTCCTTGGTCAGTGAAGCCACATGCCCAACTCTTGCGGTACTCTTGTTGTTTCCCCTCCGAGTTCCTCACTTGAGTGTGCTGCCCTCAACACCAAGGTCTGTTGCAAATCCAGGACTGCACTCTGGATTGTTCGGAGCCTACCATGTAGCTACCCTGTAGTGCCATTAGACTAATAACGTGAGCTGGAGCAGAGACTTATGGTTCATTTGTGCTCTTTGCTGTAGAATCTCTCATGGCTCAGAGATCATAGCTTCCCTTCCCACCTGTTCTGTCATGAAGTTGGGGGCTTGGAATGGACCCTAAACCTGGCGATGCTCCAGAGGAAGACCTTTCCTAACACCCAATCAGTCACAATTTGTACAGCCTAGGCTTTCATGTACCAGAGGATGTGGGAGTGGAGAGGGCCACTGAGAAAAACGTAGAGAATCCCTGGCTTTGAAGGACCAATGTCACTGTCAACAATCCCTGGCTTTGAAGGACCAATGTCACTGTCAACAGGCTCCAGACTCCTAGACGCGTGCCGCATCTTCACGCTACTTCCTGTATAGCCAACAAGAGGTACATCTGTGCATGTAGTAACGCTTTATTTAATTAACTGTGTGTCTGTGTGTATGGAATGTGTGAAGTTTGGAGAACAACTTTTCAGTTGGTTCTGTCCTTCCACCTTGTGGGTCCTGGGTGCAGAACTTGGGTTATCAGGCTTGGAGGCAAATGCCTTCTTTGCCCGCCGAACCATCTCACTGGCCCTGTCTATATATTTATTTTATTATTTTATTTTACTTTTTTTTTTTTGCTTGTAGGCTCCCAATATTTAAAAATATTCTGTCCAGTGTTAATACAGGCTGAGAATCACTTGTGGTAGCTCATACCTTTAACCCCAGCCCTTGAGAGACAGAGGCAGGCAGGTCTCTGATTTGAAAGCTGACTTGGACTATATGGCAAGTTTCAGACCAGCCAGGGTTACATAGCAAGACCCCGTCTCAAAGAGAGAGAGAGAAATGGGGGGAGACAGAGGTGTCCAATTTGGATTTTAGAATGCTTGCCTTTGAAATCTTGGGCTAAGACTCAAGTACAAAAACAAGACTCATTTAGGCTCCATGTTCACTCATACCTATAGTATGAACATCATTTTATAACATTTTAAAAAATGATTCTGTGCATGCCACGGAGCTAAGACGTGTGGAATTTTTCATTTGTGGCATCAGGTCAGTGTTCAGGAAGTGTCTGGTTTGTTCTAGATTTCAGATTTTGATTTAGGCATGCCCACTTGTGTAGTTAGTATTAATAGTCCAAAAACCCAGATCACCACAGGCACTGAAATAGAAGAGTGGATTATGGGGACCCTTGACTCCGGATTACCTTTCAGTCTGGCACCTGGGGAGATTTCTGCCTAGTTGGAGGAGGGGATGATCTAATGGAATCTGCCTCAGTAAATCCCCTGGAAGGAGCTTAAGAGCTGGGTTGATTGCAGAATGACTCTGAGCTCTAGGAAGGCATTCGTACCACCGCCATTAAGAAATGACCCTCACCTCATACTCGTGTCTGGTGGGTGTGTGCCCTAAGTTTCTGGGTGCACTGGGGGTGGTGGAAACCTCTGTGCTATACAGTAACAGTCCAAACCACCAGTTCCGGTTAGAACCGTGATGCACTTCATAAGCCAGGGCACCTGAGCACTTGAGAATAATCTTTCAGGCATGGAAGCTACTAGAGGCGAAGACCTTTAGCCACGGAAGGCCAGAGGGGAGACGACTCAGTAGTAAGCTGCTTATAGTGCTGGCGTGAGGACCCGGGTTCAATCCCCAGAACCCGTGTAATAAACTGTAGGCCACAGTGGGATTATTCTTGTAGTCCCAGAGGATCCTCAGGGCTTTCCAGGCAGGTAGCCACCTTTGCCTTCCCCACGAGCTCCAGGCCAATGAGGCACCCGGTCTTACAAAAGCAAGGTGGTGGTATCTGAGAGCAACACCTGAGGTCATCCTCTAGTCTCCAAGGCACAGTGCACAGATGTGTGCCCTAAGGCACACACAAATTGGAGGTCTTTGCAGTGGGTTATAGTTCAGTGATGGAGTGCTTATCTAAGTATGCATGAAGCAAGCACTGGGTTCCATTTCCATCACCACCAAACAATATTAATAATACAGTAATAATAATACATTTTAAAAAGAGAGTTCTTTTTCCTCCCCAGGGGCTGGGTTTCCATATTTGTTTGGGGACAGCATCTTAGCTCTTGGGATTAATTTCTCCTACACAGAGTGCTATGCCCTGGGTCCAGCTAACTCCCCTTTAATGAAATGGTGCCAGGTAACGGACTGGGCTCTCTCCGTTACCATCTGTAGGAAGCCTCCTTTAGCACTCTAGCCCACAATGCTCGCCATTAATCTTTTTTTTTTTTTCTCTGAACTCGGAGCTGTCATGAACTGAGGGGGAAGGGTAGCTTCAAGCCTTCAGGTGACATCCTGGAACACAATGGACCTGTGTTCCTCCCAGGGCCTGAGGGGTCAGAACTGTGGCAGGGACGCAGAGGGGTTTGTAGTGAATGACCCTGTCCAAACATCGGTGTTTCCAGTTTCCAAACGGCAGTATAAACTGACCCTGACTCTCTCTCCTCTCTCCGCAGTGAGATGTAAAATGGAGGACCAGGAAGTGGCTGCTGCCTCAGTGCCACCATCTTAACTAACATCAGCCACTCCACACCCAGCCTGCACATTGCCTAAGACGAGTCCCTTCAGAAGCCTTAGGACGGTGGATTCACAATCCTTTGCACACAGGCCGGGTTTGTGTCAGACAAGCTTAGGAAAGCGTCCCTTGCTTTCTGCTTTACCCCAAATACTGTTTTTTTTTTTTTCTCCCCATATACTTCTCCATGGTGTCTGGTGTGCCATTCTGAGCCACTGCAGTTGAAACATCTAGTGATGGCCTCCGTCACCAGTTTGCCCACTTCTGCTAAGATCTGTATTTTAATTTATCTCAAATCTCTGTTAGCTGTTTTGGTTTTGTTGTTGGCCTAACAAATGAGGCGAGGCTCGAGAACTGAGCTGTGTTTCTAGCTCAAGAAGAGGCAGCCAATGCAAAGGATTTCCATTGTCCAAGCCCCAAAGGGGTCACAGCAGTGCCTTTTAACTAACGGGCCTCGTCTGTTCCATGGTCATGCTCCCCAGGATTCTCTCATTCGGAAGGCCCCAGACACAGCTGATGGCCTCCTTGGTAGTAGTGTTTGACAAGCTTCCACGCGTCTTAGGTAAATAGTAAAGCCTTTATTTTCTTGTTAAGAACAGCATTTTGAAAATAAAACCTATCTGCCCATGCTTAACAACCTTTTCAGTCTGTGATATTTATATGTACATACTGATTGTCTTGATATTTCCCGAACAATTTTGTTTATAAGTATGCAAGTCAGCCAAGGTGGGGGAAGAGTGAGGGTACATTATAAAATACACATTAATACATTTAATAAATATATATTATCTATCAAAAAATGAGCCATAGCTCTTTATGAATAAAAAGCACCTGCCAGGGGCTCTCGTCGGCTCACATGGTTGCTACATCCTTGGATGTGTGAACGCCAGCGCCCCCTTCTACTTTCCAATTTGGCAAACCCAAGAGACAACCCTTCTCACCCTGTCTGCATTTGTCTGCTGGCCTGACCTCATCTGTGTGGGGGTGGGGTAGACAACAACCAGATCTTAACCTCGGAGACAGCCTCCCCCCTCTGCCACTGTGCCTCGGCAACGGACTCCAGTTAGGAGGGGACAGATGAGCTGCCATAGTCCCAGCGTGGTGTCGCTACCAGGGCATGCTAGGTTGTGCTTACAGCTTGGGGTTATTCACAGAGGACTTTCTAGACCATTTCCCGCATCAACTCTTAAACAGGTGCTGTGGATTCTGTACTCCAGCCTCTGTTGGAAGCCGGCTGCAGTCTCTGGGTGGAGTTGCCTCGCAATCCTCTTCAGGTGAGCTCGGAACTCATTAGAAAAATAGCAGATGGCGCCCTTCCTCCTTTGCTCCCACCTCCACCCCTAGTGTCTAAGAACATCCAGCCCACCCTGAACTTTAAATTAGCCAAGATAAAACAAAGCCCAGAAGCGCAATCACCTATCAGTATGGGAAAAAAAAAAACAAAAACAAAAAAAACAAACAAACAAACAAAAAAAAAGCAAAACTGTAAGGCCTCACTAAGCGAGGCGTCCTGTGGCTCAGAATGGCTCTGTTTGTACAGTGCAGAAATGTTGCTGCTTTCTGCACAGCCATTTGCACGGTGCTCACCTTATACGCGGAAAACCAAGAGCTTACAGAGAAAATCATCAATCATGTCAGCGTCTCCCTTCTGCAAGGGGGGCTTTTGCAGACCAAGTCACTGGTGACATCAGAAAGCTCCAAAGGACTCCAGAGAGCGGGGGTGGGCAGCCATTTCCTGGCACAAGAACGCGGAGTGCTGGCGTTTGTCACCGGACTGGCCCAAGGTGCTCATAGATCTCTTTGCAGAAGGCTGGGTAGTGCATGCAAGAGCCCCAGTCCCACGCAGCCCTAGCTTTCTTTCCCTCCAAACCCTCCTAGAGCTTCGAAGTTCTCAGCCCACCACATGATGGTGGACTGGCTGGAATTCTCGGGAAGCAAGCACATGCTCTGAGTGGGAGCAGGGCATCCCAGAAGACTGGGAAGGGGAGGCCTTTGGGCGTCATGCTCTCTGGTTCCCATGCGTGGTGATGCGCTAGCTGGAAGGAAAACTCGCAGGAGAGCCAAGCACTAGGCAGACTGGCCTCATCCCCCTAAGGCTCTGCAAAGGCAGGGTAGGGGAGGGAGGGGATACAGCAGAGACTGGGGTCTTGAGAAAAATCAGATTTATTAAAACACTCAGCTCAGATGTTCTGGCTTAAGAAGAGGTCAGTCCCCACCCCACCCCCAAATACTAACCTTTTCAATTTTGCTTTCATTAAAGGTTAAAGGCTTGTGGGTAATTTTTATAGAAAAAGCAGTGTAGTGATTGGAGTGTATGCAGAGGCCCTACCCTTGTTTATACGGTCCATATGGTCAGGTTCAAACTCTTAGCATGGAAAGGTTGCCAGAGATTATCCTGGCCAAACAGTGCAGAGAACACAGGGCTTTTAATGGCAGGGGTGCTGGAGATGCCGAGCGACAAAGGAATGACTTGCTCAGGACAGATGGAAGCCATGACAAATGACGGCCGTGAAGAGGGCCACTTTCATAGAACCATCGGAAAACCAAGATTAAAATGTTCTGCAAAACCCCGAAAGCAGCAGGAAACCTTCATGGAACTCAGTCTATCCTAGACTTCTAGCCACATCAAGGGGAGAGACCCCAGAAGTCACTGGCTGCTGGACATGAGGATGACAGCTCTCCATCCTAGCGGTCACCCACGGGGAGCCCAGCCACAGGACATTGTGAAAAGGCTGCTATGGTGCCTGCCTCCCAGCCCGGCTCCTCTAAAGCCAAAGCCAAGCCAGTGGCCCTGTCTGAGCTTCTGAAATGAACAGGGGAATGACGTTGGAAAAGGGGCATGGAGGACCAGCAAGTGCAGCAAGAGGAAGAAGGGACACTTCTGTCACTCTGTGAGGGAGGGAGGCGGGGCGGGTGGGGCGCTAGGCAGAGCAAGCAGCGCGTAGACGGAACAGTGGTTGGTCACCACTGTCTAAACGCGGTGGTCACTTCAAGGCCCGGAGTACCTTCTCTTTGGTTCCTCCACTCCCACTGGCTACACAGCTGCCTGACCGTCCGGTTGGGCCTTACTTTGGAATCACAGCCACAACTTCCTAAAGTCCTCTGAACTGCATAGGCCACCAAGCAAGCAAGCCGGGAAGAAGAAGGGTCCGTGAGTTAACCTCAAGGGCATAGCTGTCTCCAAAAGACAGCACTCGGGGAGGGTGTGACAGGTTGGCTCAAACCCCTCGTCTAAGCCAACATCAGCCTGGTACACCAGCTGCGGATTCTTTTCTGCCCTGCCCACGCTGCATGAAACAGTTTTCCAGCCATGCCTCTCTGGGTGAGCCTAAGACTATTGGCAGTTAGCTCTGATTTAGTTTGCAGGACGATTCCGTGTTGTGTGTGTGTGTGTGGCAGGATAGGGGAGGGCAGTCACTGTTAGCTTTCCAGTTCATCCGTATGTCACATTTACACGAAATCCCCTCGGTGGAAATTCTCAGATTTCCTGGCTTCCAGGTGGCCTGTCTCGGCCATGGTTATTGATTGCGCCCTCAAGAAAGACACAGCCAGGGAATAAAATCAGTAAGAGAGATCTTAAGGTCTTTCACCAATGGTGTCTTCCTGTGTGAGATGGCGGAGCGGTTGGGATCTGGAATAACATAAGGACAGCGCTAAGAACTCTGCAGAGTCAACGTCAGAAACTGATGCAACCGTCTCCCTCGCGTTTTCACCTGTGGGGACCTGGGGGGCGGAGTCATCCCCAGAAACGTGCCCGAGGTTCATGCCACCCACCCTCAGGGATATACTCCGCACTCAGAAACTCAGTGCTTTGGGAAGTGACGAGGAGGGGACTTGTCTCGGGCATGCTAGACAAGGGTGCTACCTTGTGCTTCACCCTGAGCCCCTACGGTAGCCACCTTCTCTGCGCTGGCCTTGGAGGAACCAGAGGACTTTAGAATGATGGACAGGCTGTGTTGATTACAGCACACGGGCTGGCCCCTCTGGGGACCATTGGTCACAGTAAAGTCATGCTTTTCTTGGCCCCGGGACAAAGAAGCAGCCCAGGAGGTGGTAGGGGGAGTTAAGAATACACATCTGCGTTCCCTTTTGTCTTAGAGCCTGTTCAAATCAAAGGGAACCGAACTAGAGCCTAAAAGCCTTCATAGGTCAGAGAAACCAAAATTCCCTCCCTCTAGGGATCAAAGACCATCTCTGATAGCCTATTAAAAAAGAAAGAAAATAAATAAATAAAAGCTTGGGTTAAATTATGGAATTGGCACAAAATAAAGAATGGAAATCATGTATACGTGAACCGGCCCATGCATTGCTTCTGAGAAGCACAGAGCTATGTCTGCAGAGAAGATGTGGGAATGAACGCCTCTTTGGGTTTTGCTGGGATGAAACAGTCATTCCAGAAGAGGCCAAAAGCAAAAGGTGACACTTTCTGCTGCGGGTCTGTTTGGCGACAGATACAGCTGCTCTGGTTGAGACTGAAGGAAACAATTCCAATTTCCTAGGCTGTCTCTTAGGGAGTTGAGGTGTGGGGGGCTGGTACCTAGCTGGAGATACTGGATGAAGTAGGGACTAGGGGGCTTAAGCTAAGGTGGATGTCAGGAAAGACGAGAGCATCCTCATAGGAAGCTCTTCCTTAGAGTCACCTTCCTGGGAGAGGGGCGGGGCACTGTGCTCAAGCAAGAAATCCACCAGGTAGAGCCCCAAGCAGTAGGTAGACACCTACAGATGGCTTTCTGAGCGTGGGTGTGTGTTTTCCTTATAATTAGAGAGGTGGTAGAGAGGGCCAGACAAAGATGGAAGGCGTGCATGCAGGGAGCTGCAGTGGGCAGCCCAGAGAAGCAGCCTCCAGGTATACCCAGCTGAAGCTGCCCCCCATCGGACACTCTTAGGCCTCCTCCCACATCAGACATCAGATTTTGATACTTACGGTCCCGCCATTGAGTACAACAGCCATCTCGGTCGGCTGGTACACATTGCTTCTGAATGGCGCGCTGGGTCGACTTCCCAGGTTGCAGGGTTTCTTTCCCAGGCTGTCGCTGGATCTTTTCCCCAAGCTTCCATTGGAAAAGCCCGATGCTGACCGAAGAGCTGAGGAAGGGGATTCCAGGATGACAACACCACAGAGAGCAGGGGAAAAAAGGGGGGGGGGGGGTAGGGATAGAGGGATAAGGGGCGGAGTGGGGAGGAACAGAGAGGGAGAAAAGTGGGGAAAGAGAGAATTTTTTTTCAACAACCAGCTCCTCCCCTCTGGGTACCTCTATCCACCCTCCACAGTGGCCCCTCCCCCTTGTCACAAGCCTGATTCAAAACAAAAGTCACAAAGGGACTTTGTTCTCTAGCCTCTAGGAGACTGAGCCAGCATCAGGGAGGGTTGGGAACTTTGTGGAGTCCTGCTCTCCCCAAACAGCTACAGCCAGGCTGGGTGGCTGTCACCTCTGGTCTCCTTTGTATGTTTGCACAGGTCTGTATGTACCATATCAGTCAAAAGCAGTCTTTATTTCTGGATGCTGCAGAGCTGGGGACTGCTAAAAACATACAGGACAGTGATTGCCATCACTGGAAAATGACTCTCAAATGACCCTCAAATAGGAATAAAAGATCCGAAGCAATGATGGTAAAAAGAGTTAGTACTCTATCCCCAAAGTAGGTACAGATGTTTCTGAGTTATTGTCCCTTTTAAAGACAGCATCTGAGGTAGCCCAGGCTGGCCTCGGACTTAGTCTTAAGTCAAGGATGTTCTTGAACTCCTGATCCTCCCGATGCCACATGCCAAGTACTGGAGTTCATGTCCAGCTAGTTAGTGTACTGTGTGTGTGTGTTTGTGTGTGAGCAGGTATCATGAGGCCACAGAAGGTGTTGGAGGTTATGAGCACCCGATGTGGGCACTGGTAAGTGGGCTCAGATCCCCTTAACTACGCTCCACCTTGTTTTTTGAGACAGTGTCTCAACTGCCTAGGCTGCCTGGGCAGGAAGTCCCAGGGATCCACCTGTCCCCACCTTCCCAGCTCAGGGACGACAGGCACGCCTCATTCACTGGTGCCAGGGATAAAGCCCAAGTCATCATGCTCGTACAGCAAGCGCTTTATCAACTACACCCTCTCCGCAGCCCCAGCACTTCTAAGAAATTAATCTCTCCCCTTTTAAATAAAGGAAAAAAAAACTTGAAAAGCCACGAAGAACCTCAAGTATGTGTTTGTAACTGAAAGGACCATGCCAGTGACAGAATCTGGAAAGCGAAGGCTGTCAGTGGTGGCCAGGGGCTGCGTGAGGAGGGATGGACAGGAGGGCAAAAGGGACATCTCAGAAGAGTGGATCATCTGTGTGACACTGCCAGGTAGATACAGGTCACAGTGCATTGGTCAAAACTCACCAGACGATGCATTCTAATTAAAATACGGTCTTCGGCTCAGTGGCAGAGCCCTTGCCTACCATCCCTGAGGCTCTCTCCTCAGCATCCCACAAGCGGATGGAAATCTTAACTGTAAGATGACATCTGTAGTTTCACTGAAAGCACTAATGTTGCTTGGCTAAAGAAAGGCTTTACTGGGCGGTGGTGGCGTACACCTTTAATCCCAGCACTCAGAAGGCAGAGACAGGTGGATCTCTGTGAGTTCAAGGCCAGCCTGATCTACAGAGGTTTTCCACAACAGGCTCCAAAGCTACTGAGAAACCCTGTGTAAAAAAAAACAAAACAAGACTAAAATCAAACAGAGAGAGAGAGAGAGAGAGAGAGAGAGAGAGAGAGAGAGAGAGAAAGGCTTTACTTAAAAGTCTTCCCTGAGGAAATGCAACAAGATAGCTTAGGAGCTATGAGACCTATTTGGGGCAAGAATCAGAAAGAAGTACCTTAGAGCCATGTACTATGAGAAGTAATATATAGAGGGTTAGTTTTCATAGCACAACAGGTTCTATTATTTCCTTCACAACAGATAAAGGTTAAGTACTATGTCCAAGATCACACAGCTGGCAGAGGCCACACTGGAAGCCTGGTAGAGACAGGCTGCTCCTCACCACAACACCAGTTCCAGGCACTCTGTTAACCATCACAGTTGGATATATCGAAGCAAGCAAGCTGTGTTAAGTGACCTTAGGGACAGCTCATCCTAAACTGGACCAAAGAAACCAAGTCCAAGACAGACTCAGGAAATCTTCCTTGCTTCAGCATCTCCAAGGCTTAAGCAGTTGCTTATGCTGAATGAGGGCATGTCTCTGCCTGGGGAGCAGCGTGGGAAGTGGGAACAGTTAAACACAAATGTTTGCTAGTATCAGTTCCTACTCTGTGAGAGAGAAGAGAAGCAGCTTCTCTTGCAACGCAGAGCCTAGTCCAGGCGGGGGACTCCCTCTCCACTTCAACATACCCTCTTTAGAGAAACCGAAGCTCCACTCTCTTGCTACCCATGGTCCCAAGGTCCCTCTGTGCAAGCTATTGGTGGTTTTATGAGCACACCTTCGGCATTCTAGGTCCTTCAGAATGGGTTCCAGGTCCAGCTTGTGACAGACCTGACCAATTATGGCATTCCATCTTTGAGAACACACTGGTTCAGGGAAGGAAATTCAGAGCCAAACAGAAATAATGCTGGGATTTTCTCAAGCCTTCTGGAAAGATTTGTTTTTCCCCTGGGATTCTGGGCAAGCCCAGAGCTACTGGGGACTGTGATGCCTTTACCATGAGATGGGGAGGAGTCAAGTTTAGTCATTACTTGAGTTTTTAAATCTAGCCCTTCCTGAAACCTGCTACCCCGGGCATTTGCGATCTTCATTTATTTGTTTGATTAATTTAGCATTCAAATTTTAGAAGGCTTTGACTAATATCAGAGCTGAAGGACAGGGACTGTTATTCCTACGTGGGTACCTGGAGGTCTAAACTCGTTGGTCTGATGCCAACTTTCTCTGGGGTAGGCCCTGCAAGTGAGGCCACATTAGCCTTGCCTTTCCCCATGCTTCGCTCAGGATCTCCAACCGTAAACAAAATCTCCAAGTAGCCTTTGGCTTTAATAAGCTCTTAGAGTCCAGGGTCCCTAACAAAAGAGGAAACACATGTTCCTTTGAAAAGCGCATGCTTTGTCTGCCTTGTTAGCACTTCCTAAGACGTGATCTGAGGTGCGACAGCCTTGGGTGTATTTGAATCTCTTAGCACTTACCTCATGCCTTATTGGTACTAATGAGCACAGTCTAGCTAAGTGTATCTGTGTGTGTGGGGGTCACATTGATGGAAGGAAATATCGGGGCAACACCACTGCAGCTTCCTAGAGCCGCAGGGCAGCCTGAAGAACATGCCTTCCATCACATGACAACTTGGGGGACCAAGAGTCAAGAGAAGAGAGCCCAAGAGGCTGGCCGCAAGTTCCCAGTGCAGGAAGACATGACCATTTCGGCTCCTGGGTACTAGCCACTCCAAGGATAAGGCCCCCTCATGGTGCCGGGTTCCTAAAATACAAACTGGCCGAAGTCAGCATGAAAGGCGCCAACAGCTGCTCCTTCTGTGGCAAAGGAGCGTGCCCAGATGGTCCTTGGCCAGCAGAGTAAGAGCTTCTAGCATAAGGGCCAGCCCAGCCAGGATAGTCTCTGGGTGAGCTTTGTCTGAGCACGATCCTGCTTGGTCTCAAGTGATTTTGGTGGATCTATATTTTTGATAGTCTAAAAGATACCTAAAAAAAAAAAAAAGAGAAGGTGGACTTCATAAGGGTTGCTAGGGATGGAGTTCATTGACCCAGCATGCACTGGGCTCTAGGTTCCAGCATCAGCACTACAAGCAAGCCAACAAGAACAACTTGTCTAAAAAAAAAAAAAAAAAAAAAAAAAAATCTGACAACACCCAAGGTTGCTGAAGATTTAAGGAGAGACTTGCAATGCAATCAGTCAGAGAGTGGGCCCTCAGCCCTAGACGGTGTGCCGAGATTTAAAATGCAGATTATTTAACTCATATCTAGGACATCTTATGCAAGGAGCTAGTGGACCAAAAAGCAGAGAGATGAATGGATAGCCGTGCTTACTGTGGCGCTGTTTATCACGGGAAGCCTGAGGCAAGTGGGGCAGCCAGAGGACCAGGAAATAAATGCTGGTGCCTGATGGAAAATCCCCCAGCATCCCCAGGGTATCGGAATCTTTATCTACTGACCCCCGAAAAGCCTCTATCACACTGACTTAAAGCACATGCCAAGCCAGCACCTGGACCTGGGGTTTCCACCTAGTGACGCCCTAGGATCATTTGGAAAGCGAAACAAATGATACAGACCTCAGAGTCAGACTTGACTGAGGGCCTGGGGGGTGGGGGGGACAGAGTGGGTGTTTTGTTGTTGTTGTTTTGTTTTTTTTCCAGTAGCTTAAATGATTCTGAAGGGGAGACAGGTGAAAGACCACCCTACCTTCCTGCTGTTCTGCTTCTTTTTGTTCTGGAGATGAGGAAGCACTTAGCGGCTTCACACCTCGGTGTCCAGACAGCTCTCATGGGCTAGTGTAGGAACGAGAGTAGCCAATACAATACTCAGAGTGGCACTTGGTGTATGGTTTCTGTTGCTGTCACTATTTGCCAGTTTGTTTTGCTGGGAGTTGTGCGTCTTGCTGTGTCTCCCAGACTGGCTTTGTAACTCACACTTCTCCCGCCTCCCCTCTCTCAGTGAGTTCTGGGATAGCAGGCATGTGCCATCACGTCTGGCCACCATTACTGCTCTGGTGTTTCTGACCTTCTAGTTCTACTGCAAGGAAATCTAACATTCCATTCAACCGCTGGTCCTTAGCCCCTGAAGGGCCACCCTCCAGGAGAAGCTGTCAAAAAACAGGTGGTGCTGCCAGCACCCCACGACTAGCCAAGTCCCTCTGTCACCACGGCCTCTTGTAGAGGCCTCTAGGTTTCCAAAGGTGACCTCTAGCATGACTGTACCTTCTCCTGTCCCCCAGATGGACTGATACCAAATCCCTACCAACATCTCCACAGTCACAGGCATCTGGCCTGGAACTTTATGTAAGAAGAGAGCAACTTGGGTGACAGCCACACTGGGACTTTCCCATCTGTCCAGAGCAGGGCTGCTGGCTCCCCTCCTACTTAGGAGTCTGGCCAGGGGTCAGGGGTGCAGAGGAAGCCAACATATCTAGGTCTGACAAGGATATGAGTGTCTCTATAGGAAGTGAGGGCTCGACATGCTTCCCCGCCTACAGGGGAGGAGCGGGCTGCACCCCGGGCTCCCACGCTTAACCTTGCAAGGCTGTGTAAAGGGACCGGCTCCTGAGCATGGCTCACACTGGGACCTGGCAACTGGGCAGATGCCGCTAAAGAGAAATGTTGCTAAATTTCAGTCTGCCATGGGCCGTGTTCCAGCTATAAGTCTTGAGGAGACGCCATTCTTTTGAGCCTCGGCTTGCACCTATCTGTCATGGGGGAGATGAGGGGGCTGACTGCACAGGGAAACGGTGGGGACTGCAGGGACAGTGCAGCCTGAGGGCAGAGCAGTGCTCGACAGTGACCACGTCCGGTGATCAGAGCCTCACCAGGACCGGGATTCAATATCACTGATGGGCCCCTGGGGCATCTTTGGTAAACTGAGAAAGATCATTTATTTAAGCTCCAGGGTGGGACCCAGCCGGCCTCCTTTCAGCAGGGTCCCGAGAGTACCTATCCAACCCCAACAGCAGGGTCTTGGGTTCTGGTGAGCACATCCTCCTCCATCCTACTGTGACCTCACCCCTGAGCAGAAACAGGTGGTCTTGGGCACCCAGATGTCACCCCAGTTGTCACCAAATTTGCGTCCTCTGTCTGATCCAGAGGAGCTTGTGAACATTTAGCCAAATAATAGGGATGTTGGTGGCGGAAGAGGGAAGTTAAGAGCGGATTGGGGGGGGGGGGCAAGCCTTCTGTCCTGGTAAGCCGGCTCTGGGATCGCTCTACGCATGTCCTCAGAGGGTCTCTGCAGGACTGAGCCTGGCTGTCTGTAATAGAGACAAGCTTATAAATACAAACAACTGTTTGGGCAACCTGCCTCTGTGCTCTCCTTTAGGAGGCCACGACTCAATATAAATCCCTATCCTGAGTGTCTCAGACTCCACTTTCGAGAGACCCAGGCAAGACCCACAAGCTCTGCGCTCAGCGCCACCAGGGTCTGGTCCCCACTGTGATACTTTCTGTAGCAACCCTACACACTATGCCCTCCCATCATTTTCCTTTTACAAATTAAGAGACCCTGAGACTCAGAGAGGCCACGTCATCCACTGAAAGGTGCAGGCAGGAAGTGGGAGAGGCAGGGTTTGCACATGGGCATTTGACTCTGGGATCCAGTTTGAACACTGCCAATGACTGAGGTGGAGGAGGCCAGGATAACACACTGCGTAGGCTGCAAACCCAAATGCCTACAGGGAGCCAAGGAACCAATGTCAGGGGACCAGCAGAGGGTGGCAGAAGGCGTGGCAAGCAGAAAGTGTATTCCCACATAAGGGCAGCCAAAAGTGTGAGGTGGGGCAAGAGGCCTGGCCTTCCAGGGCCCAGTGACTCAAGTGAGATTCAAGAAAACCTGCAGCCATGTAGGAAGGCTGGCTCAGCATTGTTAGAGCCAGGAGATATGCTGTTTTAAATTGGTGTCATTTTCGGTGTGGATGCTGCTGGGGATAGACCCAGGGCCTGTGCACGTGGGGCAAATGCTCTATCATTGAGCTTCCCATGACTTTGAAAAGCCAGAAACATGGAGGATTGTGGTGGTGGTGGTAAATTGTGTGTGTTGTGTGTGTATAGGCATGAGGTCAACCTCAGATACTGTTTTTCAGAAACTATCTCTTTGATTTTGGAGATACTAGGGTGTTAGGGTGTCTAGGGCTCACAGATCATCCGCTTGCCTGGAGGCCTACCTGCCTCTACCTCTTAGCACTGGAACTATCATAAGATGTGCCACCACACCTGACTCTTCCCTGGGTTCTAGAGAGTGAACTCAATCCTCTTGCTCGCCCTGACAACACTTTACCAACTGAGCCATCTCCCCAACCCCATCTCTTGGATTTTTATAACCAATGAGGGAGCAATTGGCAGGAGGAAAACATACATAAAAATAGCTCTGAGTCAGTGTTAGCGTGCAGGCCGGCCATTCATGATCATCGAGTCTGCCGCTGGGCCTGGGAGCATCTGCCCTGGTTATGGCCTTCCGGGGACTGTCCCAGGCCCAGCAGTGACCACTTTACCTGCATTATGCTCATCCATTGAGAAGGCCTTGTTCTCCATGTAGGCTCGAGGCAGGTGCATGTCCTCCTCAAACGCCGTCTCCCGCATCCTGGGCTGTGAGGTGTCAAAGTAGTTGGGTGGGTTCTCCTGCAGGGGTGGGAGGAGGGTGCAGTGGATCTCCGGAATGGCGTGGAAGATGACAAAAACCCAGCCACTGGCTGCCAGGGTGATGGCCAAGGTGGGGTCGCTCCAGGCATCTCCCTGCTTAAAGATCGAGTTGCCGAACAGGTACATGGTCATCCAGACCACCCAGATGAGCAGAGAGAGGAAGGTTGTGATGAGGATGAAGGCTCCGTTCACCTTCCACCGCCTGAACTTGCCACACAGCGTGAAGAGGGACTGTGTCAGGGTGATGACCAGCAACACCATGTCATAGATGAGTGCCATCACAAAATCCATGGGCTCGTAGGCGCAGGCTGACTTGGTGTCACGCAGCACGGTCAGCACCAGCCACTCGGTGGCAATGATGACCTGCACCAGCATCAGGCACAGTGCCAAGCTCACTAGCTGCCAGCCGGCTGGGCTCGTGCCCTGGCGCACCAGCCTCCGCACCCGCCACGCCTGGCTTAGCAGACAGGAAAAGCAGAGCGCGAAGAGGACACCCCAGAGGAAGCGTCGGATGGAGCAGATTGTCTCGTCCATCCGAATGATGAAGGCAAATGTCAGTCCAAAGAGGCCCAGGGTCCCCAGCAGGAAGAGGAAGTGGAGACACACGGGCCTCCTCTTCTCCTTGTCCTTGACAAAGGGCAGTCTCACCAAGAGGATGAGCATCAGGAGCAGTGTGATCAGGGCCCCCGCCCCGGCCACTGCCTCCACCACGATGCCCCAGATGGCGTCCAGGTCGCACAGGGACACGTACTGAGGGAGAAGGTCCAACCCACAGCCCCGGGATGTGCTGGCGTTCTCTGAAGCCACCGAGGCAATCACCAGGAGCAGGGGCAGGGGGAACACTTGATGGGTTCTCATCTTTCTCTCTGACACCAGGAAGATTCTAGAAAATGGGGACAAGCGGGGAGAAAGCTCAATCCACAGGAAGGCCCCACTTTCCTGATTTCCAGAGGCCTTGCCTCTTGTCAAACCCGGCAGCCCTCAAGGCTCCTTCAGGCCTTTGAGATAACGGCATCGATTTTCTCAGTGGCTGTGGTCCCTTTCCCAGGCTCTCTGCCTCCCACTTGAACCCTGACCCAGATTAGTAGCCATGAGCCACCATCAACAGTGGCTGGAGGGCCAATGGAAGGGAGACTCACCTAATCTCTCTACCCCTCTGTAGTCTGTAAATCTGGCCTCTCCCAAAGTAAGGCGACGAGAGGCGTTTTTAAAGGGATAGCCACCAGCCAGGTACTCGACTGGGCAACACCCCTTATTTCTTCCTTGTCCTCAAAGGCTAAGGGGAGTATTTACTGAGCACTCACTCTAGACCAAAACCTGGGCTCATCCAGTCCTCATAATGCCCTATGAGGCAGCAGGTCCCATTGTGACCTCCATTTTCAGGTGACAAAACAGGGTCTTCATGCTCTCACACTCACCCCAGGGCACACAACCACACTCCAGGAAGCCACTGCTCTCAGCAGAGGGAGAGAACCCCCCCCCCAGATTTACACATGGGGTACATCCTGTGGGCCCAGCCAAGTCCCCTGCACCCACAAATTCAACCAAGCTCAGATGAAGAATACTCAAGAAAAAGAGTCTGTCTGTCCTGAACACGTGCAGATATTTTTCTGTTGTCACCTAAACATGACGCAACAAGGGTTGACATTGTATTAAGTATTGTAAGTGACCTAAAAGTCCACGGAGCATGGGCATAGGCTGTGCGTGAATACGGTGCCCTTCACAGAAAGGCCTGGAACATCAGCTAGATGCTGGCACCCAGGGCCGTTGGCATTTAAGGGATCCTGGAGCATTTCCTGCGAATGTGCCTGTTCATCCGGAAGGAAATTCTCCAGGCTCCGTCCCCCTCACACTTCTTCCTCCCCCGTAGATCTCCTGAGGCTCTATTCTTTCCAACTCCCCTGTTATCCCTGTCCTGGCAGAGTTCAGCCTGCCACACCCCTCTTCCACGTGCTCTAGATGCCCAAGGACAGTGCTGGCCCAGTCTCGTCTCCCCGTTAAGACACATCCCTATTATTTTAACTTTCTTTTTCTACTTTAATTGTTAAACTGGGACCTCATGCATGCTAGGCAGCAGCTGGGCTACATCTCTGATCCCTTTACTTTTTTTTTTTTGTTTGTTTGTTTGTTTTTAAATTTTCAGTTTGAGGTAGAGCTATACTACCTTGGTCAAGCTGGCTTCGAACTCACCACAGCCCAGGCCGGGCTCGCACTGGTGAGTTTCCTGCCTCAGCCTCTTGAGCAGCAGTGTAGGCCAGTGTTACTAGGCCTGGTCCTGCAGAGATGCTTCCACTCCACTCCCCGTCCCCAGCTCTCCTCAAGAACCATCATGTCAGTTCAGACTTCGCCAAGGTCGGTTAGGCAGAGCGCTAATCAAGTCTGCCATTTTTTGCCTACTTTGTTTCCTTTCTCTTCCCCTTTCTCCTCTCCTCCTTGTTTTTGTCTGTCGGGGCAGGCAGGGAGGCAGAGACAGTATCTTTTACTCACTTTTACTTCTTAGTAGTAGACTCTGCTTTCCCAACCTTGTCACATCTGGCATCTATCCCTGACAGGTCTTTTTTACCCCCTGTCCTTAGGATATCCTATGTATCATAGGAATGCGTCTCACCAACCCAGCTTCTATCCGCGGCCAAATATCTCCTGGGTGAGGGGCACAAATGCACCCACAAAGGATTGCTGGTGAAGATGCCAGTATTAGCAGACAGCATCTGGCACAAAGCAGGGACTTGGGAAATCCCCACAGAACAAGAGCCGTGCATCCAGATTGCTCTTTACCCCACGGGCACCAGCTCCTTGCTTCTAAGTGGGCCTTCAAGAAGCCACGTCTGCACAGCTGTGCCCCAGACTCATTCCTAGTCATGTTAAGCTAGTTTGGGGTTGTAATTCCACCTGTGTGTAGGTCTGTAACCAGTCACCCCACAGCACAACGCCAGACATCCCTGGGGCTTCCCTTAAGTAAATGCAGTATTGACCACCTCTCTCCTCCTCTCCTTTAGAGAGATCCCTTGTGCATCCTGGGTCCCTCCCTGGCCTTCAGGCCATCGACCCTATAAATAATGGATGCTGTAGAAAATGGCGGTGGGGTGGGTTGGTCTGCTGCGCTTACAGAGAGAAGGCACATTACAAAAGAATGTACTTGGGTGGAGGGGCTCCTTAAACAAGATTCCCCCCACTGAGGTAAATATAGAGGTGGGGATACACCCCAGATATTGGCCACCGACTTGTAGTCTAGATGTAGTAGTGCCACGGAGGCCCCTTCGGCAAGTCCCTGTGCAGTCATTTATTCAACTGTGGCCTTTTACATTGACCACTTGAACCCCAAGAAATGAAAATACTTCTCTCTTGATATTTCTAAACTGTGCTAGAGAGCTCAGTTGGTCAGGGTGCTTGTTGCCAATGCCGCCAAGTCTGAGAACCTTGGATCCTTGGGACCCACAGGGTAGAGCCCTTGCAGCCCCCGTGTGTGTATGTGCACCCCAAGGAACATGGTACGAGGTACACTTTGGAGAGACATCATTCTGAACAGAGCCGCTAAGCAAGGCTGGGAAACATGCTATGAACCAAAATTTAAGAACAAGATGGGACAGGACAAGCTGCCGTTGGTCCACAACAAGGTGGGGAGGGTCTCCAGAGTGAACCCCCATTAGGAGAGTTCTCAGCAACACACTCAAGGGACTCTCTCTAGTTTATAACCAATCCCATCTTCCCCTGGAGGTGAGGAAATGACGTTTGGGAAGATGCTTCTGGGGCTGAAACAATGCCCCCCCCTTGCCATCTCTCACCTACACACCCTTTGACCGATGGTTCTCAACCAGGGGCAGTTTTGGATGTCACAAGAATGGGCATCTGTGGAGCAGAGACCAGGCCTACAATGTGAATAGCAGTCTCCACCGAAGAGAATGACGTAGGTCAGTTAAGTCCATGGTACCAAGGCTGAGGAAGGCTGATTTTAGACATCAAGGTCAGAACCAATGGAAGACACCAGAAACCCCACCAAGTCTTGGTCGGGCCTATATCTCACCGTCTTGCTTGCAGGACTTGGTTTTTTTTTAGGTGTGGCTAGCCACTCTTTCTGGCAAAGCTCCTCCTTCTGAGCCTGGCTGTAGACCGAGGCTCAGTTTCCTCAGCTCTTCTTGCATGCTTCCTGTCTCTCCTGTCTACCCCAACCAGAAAGGGCTAACACCAAGACAGCGCCCACATTTCTGAGACTGTGCAGTGTTCTTGTAGTCCACGGCCAGGCCTGTAGTTTCCGCTTCCTTTCGGTCACAGCAGATGGACCCTCTCAGGCTCTCTGCTTTCGCGGCCACAGGTAATGCTCCTTTCTCCTTCAAGGGCTGTGGTCTGGTTACAGCAGCGGCTTCTCTCATTTCTGCAAAGAGCTTCCAATTTCCTTTTGGAGAGTTACTTTAAGTCCTAGCTCCCAGCTGGGGGTCTGGTATGAATTAAGAGGGCAACGTCCCCAGGTGGTGGAGTTATTTTAAAGATCAAGGGGTCTTTAGGAGTGGAAGTAGGGACCTTTGATAGTTAACGGTCTGGCTTTTAGAAGCCACAGCAGAGTCTGGTCTAAGGCCAAGGGAGGAACTTAGGCCATACACAGCCACGGCCATGCCATCCTTGTCACGATGAAGCAGGGCCTGGCCTGAGGCCATGAGAAGAACCGATGCAGTTGTACACGGCCACTACTGTGCCACCCCCATCAGGATGAGGCGAGACCCACGAATCATCTCTTCATTTTGATCATTTACCTTGTGTGTCAAGAAATGTAGCTGCGATGGTTAACATCAGCTTGACAGACTCTAGACTCACCCGGGTGACAAGCCCCTGGACGTGGCTGTGAGGGATTATCAGGATTAGGTTAGCTGAGCTGCGCAGACCCACACTGTGCAGTAAGCTGGGGTCCTGGATCGCAGGAGGAGAAAGGGACCCGAGTGAAAGCATTCATCTCCCTTGGCCTCCTGACTGTGGATGCAATGCGACCAGCTGCCTCAAGATCCTGTAGCCTTGACTCCTCTGCCCTGACGGACTGAACCCTCCAGCTGTGACCTGAGGTAAACCCTTTCTCCTCTTAAGTTCTTTTCCTCAGGGTCTATTCTCACAGCAACAGGAAAAATAATTAAAATTGTAGCTCAGGCAGCACCAGCTCAGGCTTGGCCAATCTGGACGTCAGTCCTCTCTGGCTGAACTGATGGCATCATAAACAGGTCTGTGGTTTGAATCGGCAGGAGGGTTTGACATTCACTGGAGGGACGTCTTCTCTTTGAGATGGAATTGATAAGTTAGAAGGTTAGAGTCTTGTCACGGGAGAGGACAGATCTCTCTCCCAAGGAGAACCTGTCTGAGGGTAAGACTGACTGACCCACAGGATCAGCTAGGAGATGGGCTTGAATCCTAATCCATTGAAAGGCGGCTGGATTCAGCCATGTCTGGTACCAGCAACCAATTAACTACATAGTGTGAATGACACCAATTTGACCTGGGTTTCTGTCACTTGCCAACAGGTTCTCAAAAACCTAGAAGGAATGGCCCCTTCTTGACCCATATCTAGGCATATAGATGAAGCCAAGCATTGCCAGTCACCCGAGGAGAGAGCCCAGTTGCCTCAAGCTGGTGACTATTGGCTCTAAGGAAGATGCTGGGTTGTGGCCACCCAAGTCCACAGAACCGTGTATAGGATGAGGGGAAGGGGTTACCCTGAAGCCAAGGCCACTAGCTCATCTAGGATTTCCAGGGGGGTCCTATTTCTGTCACACTGACAACTATAGTAACTGCTCACTGGGCTCCCCGGAACATACAGTAACATCCAAGGATCTGCCAAAGGGAGGTAGCTAGGGTTGTACAGGCCCGTCATCCTGGCATTTGGGAGGCTGGGGTTAGAGGATCATA